AATGATCCGCTCGGCATTTGTTCTTTTCTCTCGTGTGCTCACTGTCACGGCGAGCTGAGGCAGAGGGCGGCGGGTGATGAACCGATTAGAGAGCTCGCCGCTGCGGCTTTGAGTCGTCACACAATGGACAACAAATAGTGTCCCGGAGACAGGGAGCAGGCGCTGATGCTTTCAGGAGCACCGGACAGCTCCGCGGCTCTTTTTCCTGCCCGTGTGCTTTTCATGTGGTCAGCACCTCCGTCCTCAACATCAGCAGCACACGAGTGAGGTAAGAAAAAGACTTGGTGGTGGTGTTCACCGCTTCATCTTTTTTTTTTTTTTTCTTATGCCAAATCTTTTGAGAGACTCAGTTCTGGAAAGAATTATTATAAGACTTTGGGTCTGTTTTTAAATCACTTTGAGTGTGTGTGTCAGAAGGTGGAGGTGTAGGGTGTGCATCTGCAATCACACTGTCAGAGTGATGCGGCAAACGTGGGGGAAAAAAAAAAGGAAATGAAAAACGCAGGGCACTCTGATTTAGATTGTTTTGTATAAATATATATATATATATATATATATATATTTTTCTGGAGAATTTCGGAGAATTATACAAGTATACCTGCAATCCCATTTGGTGTAGTTGCAAGTAGCAGCCAGCGGGTAGAGCCCCTGTCATTTATTATTATTATTATTATTATTATTATTATTATTATTATTATTATTATTATTATTATTATTATTATTATTATTATTATTATTATTATTATTATTATTATTATTATTATTATTATTATTGTCATTATTATTTACTTTTAATTTTTACATTTAAATCTGCAGTCTGCTGAAATACAGCACCTGATGAGCTTATGTTCACTGCATTTGTTGCAGTATTTTTTTTGCGTAATTGCACATCACCGTAAACCAGGGGAGTCAAACATAAGGCCCGTGGGCCAAAACTGGCTCGCTGGGGTGTTCGATTTGGCCCCACCTGATGAATTCTGAAAATAAGTAAAAAATACGCAAACACTTCATGATCACATCAGGATATTATTCGTAAAAATATAGTTCATTAAATAGGAATAATTAACAATGAATATCTAATATACAGTACTTGTACCTCTTACTCTCTACTTTTTTTTTACTACTGTCTGAAATGAAATCACACACAAATCATGAAACAAAAAAAAAAGTTTCGTGAAAGTGTTTTGAACCAATTCTGCAACGCTGTAATATTGATCACTGCATTTTCCGGACTATAAGTCGCACTTTTTTTTTTCATCTTTTGGCTTGGTTTTACGACTTATATGTTAAAATATGTAATTTCACTTGTTCGTTATTTTCACACTGACAGCCGCTGGAGGGCACTCTAGGCTTGTGTAGCAGTATCTGTTACTCCTGTACCAATGAAAATTGACATGCTCCTTATTTTCACACTTACTGCCGCTAGAGGGCACTCTAGGCTTGTGTACAGTATCTGCTATTTCTGTACCACTGAAAATGTGCATGTTCGTTATTTTCACACTGACAGCCGCTAGAGGGCACTATAGGCTCGTGTACCGGTATCTACTACTCCCATACCACTGAAAATGTACATGTTCGTTATTTTCACACGGACAGCCGCTAGAGGGCACTGGTGCTATTTATACTTCGGAGCGACTTATAGTCCGGAAAATACGGTACTGTTTCGTCTTTTCAGCAGTACAAAAAAAAACATGCAAATAAGCAAACCTCACATCTCGAAAATAAAGAAATATTCTTCTTTCTAATAGGTTGTCTGCGTCTTTGTGTCAGAGAATGGACAGAACCCTGTCCCCGTGGAACTCCACCCACTCTGCTCCTCTGCAGAACAACTCCACCTTCTACCTGCTCAACGCGTCCCCTTCCCCCTCTCCTCCGCCCTGGAAGGCGCCCTCCTTCACCGTGGCCGCGGGCTGCCGCGTGGCCGCCACGCTGGTGCTGTTCATCTTCGCCGCTGTCAGTAACCTCTCCGTCCTCGTCAGCATATGTTGGGGGCGGGGCTATCGCCTGGCGGCCCACCTCCGCCCGCTCATCGCCAGCCTGGCCTCGGCGGATCTGATGATGACGTTCGTGGTGATGCCCCTGGACGCCATCTGGAACATCACGGTGCAGTGGTACGCGGGCGATGTCATGTGTAAGCTCATGTGCTTCCTCAAGCTCTTTGCCATGCACTCGGCCGCGTTCATTCTGATGGTGGTGAGTCTGGACCGGTACTGGGCCATCCTTCACCCTCTGGACTCCTTAGATGCCGGACTCAGGAACAGACGCATGCTGGCGGTGGCTTGGACTCTGAGCGTGCTGGTGGCCTCTCCACAGGTACAGTACGTTCTCATTTAGGCCAATGTCGCGGTCGTACAAGTGGGATGTGTGTTTGTGGAAGTTCGGAGATCTTTTTTTTTTTAAAAAAAATGATGACAACAGTTGTATCCTCTCATCCTCAGCCTTCGATGTGAGCAGCTGTGTAGCCCTGACGTTCTCCTCTTTCTTTGTCCTCACTTTCCTCTTCCTCTGCCTTCTTCCTGTCCTCCTTCTTCTCTTCTTCCTTTATTCTCCTCCTCCTCCTCCTTTTTCGTCTCTTTCGTTCTTCTCCTCCCTAGTCTTTCCTTCTTTCTTCCTACCTCTTCCTCTTCCTTCATTCTTCTTCCTCAACTTTCCGCTACCTCCTCTCTCCTGTGTCCTTTATTCTCACTTCCTCCTCCTCCTTTTTTTCTCCTCTTCCCTCGTTCTTCTCCCTCCTTCCTTCTTCTCCTCCTCTCTGATTCTTCTTTCTCCTTCCTTCTTTCTTCCCCCTCCTTCTTTTTCCTCCTCTTCCCTCATTCTTCTTCCTCCTGCCTTCTTCTCCCCCTTCTCCTCCCTTCTTTCCCCTTCCTTCCTTCTTCTTCCCCCTCTCCCCCCTCCCCTCCCCCTCCCTCCCTCCTCCTTCTTCTCCCCCTTCTCCTCCCTTCTTTCCCCTTCCTTCCTTCTTCTTCCCCCTCTCCCCCCTCCCCTCCCCCTCCCTCCCTCCTCCTTCTTCTCCCCCTTCTCCTCCTTCCTTTACACTTCCTTCTTTCTTCCTCCCTCTTCCTTCATTCTTCTTCCTCCTTTCTTCTTCCCCTCTTTCTTCATTATCTTCATTATTCTCCCTCCTCCTTCTTCTCCTCCTTCTTTTTCTCCTCTTCCCTCATTCTTCTTCCTCCTTCCTTCTTCTCCCCCTTCTCCTCCTTCCTTCTTTCTTCTACCTCCTTTTTCTTCTCCTTCGTCTTCTACTCCTCTTTCTTCATTATTCTCCCTCCTCCTTCTTCTCCTCCTTCTTTTTCTCCTCTTCCCCCATTCTTCTTCCTCCTTTCTTCTTCCCTTCTTTTCCTCCTCCTTCTTTTTCTCCTCTTCCCTCCTTCTTGTTCCTCCTTCCTTCTTCTCCCCCTTCTCCTCCTTCTCCCTCCTTCCTTTACCCTTCCTTCTTTCTTCCGCCTCCTTTTTCTTCTTCCCCTTCTCCTCCTTCTTCTAATCCTCTTCCTTCATTATTCTCCCTCCTTCCCTCTGCTTCTCCTCCTCCTCCTTCTTTTGCTCCTCCTCCTCTATTCATCTTCCTCCTTCCTTCTGCTTCTTCCTGCTCCTTCTTTTTCTCCTCTTCCCTCATTCTTCTTCCTCCTTCCTTTGTCCTTCCTTCTTTGGTCCTCCTCCTCCTTCTTCTCCTCCTCTTCCTACTTCCTTCTTTCTCCCTCCTCCTCCTCCTTCCTTAGTGCAGGACCAACTGTAGAAAAACGTCACTAGCCAACCTTAGCATCTGCAGTCAGCAGACAGTTGATGTTCCAGCTCCATCACCCGCTGCTGCCACAACTGTCTACACTGTAGCATGCGGTGACGTTTTTTTTTTTTTGTTTTTTTTTTTGACACGGTACGGCCGTGTCACTCGACGGTGCATTCAAATGTCCTAATGCACGCCATGGGGTGAGAGATCCTCCCGCACTACATGGCTACATACGTGTGCCTGCTGCGGTTTGTTCCGTGGTAAACAAACCCGTTTGTTTACTTTACAAACTGCGCTCTGTGTGTTTTCCCCCCCGAGACCGCATGCACTCGTCGCTCACTCCGAGTCTCTACACTCTATTCATCCTCAGCTGTTCATCTTTCGAACCATTAAGGCTGACGGCGTGGACTTCACCCAGTGTGTGACCCACGGAAGTTTCCAGCACCGCTGGCAGGAGACTGCATACAACATGTTTCACTTTCTGACCCTGTATGTGTTTCCCCTGCTTGTCGTGACGTTTTGCTACACTCGCATCTTCACCAAGATCAATGCGCAGATGCTCAAGAGAAAAGGTGTGTGACGAATGCCTGATTTTTCTTTTTTTTGAATCCTCCTAGGGCTAGCAGGCAGCTGATGGTCGGCAACAAAGTTTTGTAAATTGCTCTGTGTAATAATAATAATAATTTTAAAAAAATTATCAAGTTAGGAAACTCAGCAACATGGACTTTATTATAAGGGAATTCAATTCTTTTTAAGCTCCTGCGGGCCACACAAAATTATTTTGTGGGCCACTTTTGGGCCACGGGCCTTGAGTTTGACACATGATTTAGAGATACTGCAATATACTGTACATCAAAAACATCAATAATAATATATGGAGAAAACTTCATTTTGGAGCGTGAAAAGTCACATACGAGACGCGTTCTTCGAACCGTCCAATCAAATCACTCATAACTGCTAGAAGACCTCGGTGTCACCAAGTCAAAATCTGATTGGTTTAAAAAAAAAAAACAATCTCCCATGCCATTCATTTTAGGCTCCCAGCGCCTGCACTACAGATTCGGAAGGCCTTAGGGCAGATTTCCTTCACCCTGGCAACACATAAGGGTTGAAATATGATTGGATAAAAAAAAAAAACTGACTGGAAGCAGCACAACCGAGAGAAAAGCTGTAGTGAGGAGAACAAACAGATATAGAAAAATAAGTCACTGACTCCGATATTATTTAAGCTAGAATTGAAAATCTATCCGGACATGATGGCACGTCAGTGGGTGTCGCTATGTTTTATTAAAAATTAGCCACAATTGGGCCTAAAATTGAACATGGGGGGGGCCGGGTCGGGAGCAGATAGATATAGCGTTCGTGTGAACTAAGATAAATGCTAAAATGCTTTCATCATTTTCTACACCATCTATTGGGGAAACGTGGGTATTGCAGAGAAAAGGCCAGAAGTGTAATGATAATATAAATAAATTATTTAATTTGGAAAAGTTTGGCGGGACGGATTAAAAAGCTGAACTGACCGCGTCCGGCCCCCCCATGCCTGCCTTAGGTGATTCATATTTTTTAAAGTAAGGATATTTTTCCACTTAATTTATATTATATAATATTTTTTTCTTGAATATTCGTTCTATTTCTGTAGACGGTGAGCATTGCCTCAGACGCAGTGGCACGGACATGATTCCCAAAGCGAGGATGAAGACCCTTAAGATGACCATCGTGATAGTGAGCTCCTTCGTCATCTGCTGGACGCCTTACTACCTTCTGGGGATCTGGTACTGGTTCCAGCCCTCAATTGTCCAGTACACACCCGAGTACGTTCACCACATACTGTTCTTCTTTGGCAACCTGAACACGTGCTGCAACCCCGTCATCTATGGCTTCTACACGTCGTCCTTCCGCGCCGACCTCGCCGACGTGGTCGCGTTCTGCCGCGGTCGCCGCGGCCAGAACGCCTCGCCTCACTCGGTGGACGGTCTGTCTGCGCGGAGGGCTGGAGCTCCCGGGGAGATGGAGTCTGATCTGAGCTCCAACCAGCACAGTGGAAATCCATGTTAATCAGAGACACCAGCGTTCGCAGCATCGGATGTTGAAAAATGCTGCGGGTACTTTATCTAGATACGTCGACGTTTAAAATCTAAAAGGCTAACGAGCTACTTCCCGGGTTATCAGCAACAATAACAATAACCGTCAACTGTCAAACCCTACACGGCAATGCAACAACTGGGTTCAAGACTTCGCTACGCCAGTAGTCATCTGTTGCGTTCCATAAACGGCATCGCCTATGTCTCCTGATTGGTTGGTTTGTTTTCGTGTGACATCACGCGTTAGGAGCATGTCACGTCATGCGTTTATGTGGCTGCTTCCCTGTGCCCTCTTGACAGCTGCTGGACAACGCAGTTGGAGCCTCAGCTGGGCCTAACGCTAGCGCTAGCTCTTTTGAGTCAGCAGAAATAAATCGCAGATCCTTATTTATTTATTTATTTGTTTTACTACAAAAACAGCCTAAGTCAGGGGTGTCAAACGCATTTTGGTTCAGAGGTCGCATACAACCTAATTAGATGTGGGCCGGACCAATCGTACAATCATAACATAGTTACCTATAAATAACAAGTCCATGTTTTACCCTTTGTGTTCATGCAAAGAAGCACAAGTATATTAGATATTTATTGTTATTTACTTCTATTAAATGAAATATAGTTTGACAAAAAAATACCCTGAACATGAAATGTTTGTGTATTCTTACTTATTTTCAAAATTCATCAAGCGGGCAAAATTGAACACCCTAGCGAGCCAGTTTTGGCCCACGGGCCACATGTTTTTCTCTTGTTTCATGCAAAAAAGTATATTAAATACATCTTCATATTTAATTAAATATAATTTTAGGGGGCCAGATTGAACGCCCCATGCGGGCCAGTTTTGGTCCGGGGACCGTATGTTTGACACCCCTTGGTTATCCTCGTTAGTGATAGTGAAGAGTCAACCTGATACTGTACGTAGACACTACAGACTTTCTTATTTTATATTTACAAAATGTTAACTACACCTATCTCTTCCTGTCAGTGAAGTGATACGGCTGTTGGAGTGACACTGTGCGTATATATATTGATCTTGTATGTAGTTCAGTTCCGATCGCTGACGATGTGTCCGGTTTAAACAGCACTGTGTGAACTAAACATTAGCCGTGAATACTGATAATAGATGCTATCATTTCTAAACAAGGCACAAGACCAACAGATGCTGCAGGTTGCATTACACGTCAAGCATAAAGGCTAATATGCTAAAATGTTTTTATCATTTTCTACGACATCTATTGAGGAAACGTGGGTATTGCAGGGAAAAGGCAGAAGTATCATGATAATATAAATAAATTATATAATTTCGAAAAGGTTTGGCGGGCCGGATTAAAAAGCTAAAAACGGGCCGCATCCGGCCCCTGGGCCTTAGTTTGCCCATGCCTGGTCTAGGTAATCTCTAAGTGCCAATACTTAGGTAATTGACACAAACTGTAGTTCTGGTTCCTTCTATGCAACATAGATACCATATCTGGTGTTATAATGGTATCTGTGCAAAAAATTAAATTCATCTACATTGTCCTCGACTGGTAAAACAAAACTGTTTGATATAAAACAATATGGTAATGTTGTAGAGAAAGTGTTCAAAATGGCTTCTATCTACTGCCTAAATATGAGACCAGACTAGACCAGACCTCTGCCTGTCCTTTATGACAGTACATGGGTTAATTTCTGCCACACCGTCTAAATATATGTATTTAGTTTAAGTTTAAACAGTGTAGAGTAGCGGAAAATACAACTCCATTTCAATATGCATTTATTGTTGTTTGTATCGAAGGTTGTTTGTACACTCTTTAAATGCACTAGACTAAAATGAATGTAACACAAGCACAGTGATTAGAAATTACTACATTACCCTAATGCAGTTTTTTTTTTTTTTTTTTGATAATTTTTGAACCACGGCACTAGAAAACTCACATAAACAAAAATGTCCCCAAAAAAATATACCGTACAGCGACTGTACGTCGCTGCGGAGTACAAGTCGCACCAGCCAAAAAATGCATAATGAAGATGAAAAAAACACATATAAAACGCTCCGGAGTATAAGTCGCACCAGCCAGCTAGAGCGCCCTCTAGCGGCTGTCAGTGTGAAAATAACAAACATGTGAAATTAGGTGTTTAAATATATATGTTGCACTTGAGTATAAGTCGCAAAAACCTAGCCAAAGGATGAAAAAAGTGCAACTTATAGTCCAGGAATTGAAGAAAGTGTAGTGAAATTTGATCATTCTCTACTGTGCACTGTGATGACCTCTAATGGCCGACTAATGCGGCGCAGCACGGTGGTTGGAAATCACTGCCCTAATGTTTAACCCGTGTTAGCATATAATGGTTAGCTACAACGCATGACTTTTGCCATCACTGACACTGACTGCAACAAATTCCGCTGAAAATTAATTTCTCATCTAATATCCTATCACTTTACCATACCTATCAATAGGACATAAGTCACCTTGCTGTGCACACTCACTGCTCAACCGTTGCTATGGTTCCCTCCTCAGGTCATTTAAAGTCACCGGCACAAAAACCAGTTGTTTAAAACAGGGTTGTTGAACAGGTGTGTAAAGAATTAGCATTGATCAATCTTGTCTCGAAGACAGTGTGACTTAACACAGGCTGCCACAGGGGGCGCTATTAAGTACATGGTTGCATCACACAGGCTGCCACACGGGAGCGCCATTAGGGATACGTGGTTCCTCTGAGAATCAAACCCAGGCCTCTCTGGCAGGCGTGCTAAACCGCTAAGCTATTGAAGCACACGACATAGCCCGGTTACAATCCATTTCAATGTAGTCCAATGATCATTTGGATTCATCCCTAACAGAATTCTGGGTATTTTGAATATTATCAACTGTGGATGGTGATTGTGGGACATATACCCTCTCTCTACGCATGCGTCATCGTCAGCCATTTTGTTTTTCAGGCCTACATCAGCTGCTGGTTTTGACTCCACGTGTACATATGGCGCAGTTCCGTTTCCTGCCTGTAAAAGCTACTCCTGTCAGTTCTATGACTCTCGCGGCTTTGTACAGTATACAACGACAGACTTGAAATTGATGTCAATCTTCTAACTTCTTGGGGTCTTAGAAGAGATTGTAACTTGTCAGTGATACTGTATATCTACCTCCTGCCTATTACTGCATGGTGTTTGTTTTCATAGAAAGCAATAGGAAGTGGAAAGGGTGATTATTTATCGCAACCTTTGAATTAAATGCATCAGGTTGTACCTTGGGAGTTGCTGAACTTGATCTTGACTGTAATACAGAGAAATACTTGTTACTAATCCTTGTGTAAAATCATAAATATATATAATGTATGTTATGTATGTATACACTTCATTAGAAACATGATGCTAATACCAACCTCAGTAATTCATAATCTGTCTAAAGGAAAAAAAAAAAACGCATCTTTATACTGTGGACAAACAAACAAAAAAACAACCCTTTTGCTGCCGCTAATGTACAGATGTTCCTAATAAAGTGCTTGTGAAACGTCGCTATATATGAATATTTATATTTTGTTAATTTGTGCAAATAAAGGTCATGTTATATATTGTTATTCTGTTGTCATCCACGTGTTTCATTCAGGAATTTTGGTTGACATTTACTGGTTCACTTTACAATAAAACTTGCTTAATCCTTGATTAAATATAATGACGTAAATATGGACAAAAACACACTTAGAAACATACCTCTAAATCCATGAGTTACGAAATGCAATGTGCAATCATTCACTTATTCATTTTTTTTATATATATATATCTGTTCCAACCTTTAGATTTTTTTATATATATATCTGTTCCAACCTTTAGAACAGGGTTTCAAACTCCTGGCCTGGGGGCCAATTCTGGACCACAAAACGGCCACAAGAAGTCCCACAACTAGATTTGAATGATGAATTAATTTTGTCCGAGAGGTGAATTGTTTTTATATTTATTTTCATTTGTTTTTTCGCATTTGTTTGTGAAATGCTTTAATTGGTCATTTAAGAAATCAAACAATTTTTTTTGTGCTTTTTTTTGTACTTTTTTCTAACAAAAACGATCTATTGACCATCAGACAGAAACGTTGCCCCTAGCTCAATCGACTTAGCGAGAGTCCTGCTTTAAAGTGAAAATATAATTATTGCGAAAATAATTACTTTCGCTTAGCCGAAACCCCCCCCCAAAAAAAACAGGGTAGGTATCATGAAACAAGTTGACTTGAGGTCCCTACCTTTTCTAGCTGGGTGAGGATCCAGACCTTAAGACACAGTCGGTGATGGTGATGATGATCGTCTCATTCTGCTCCCCTGCAGTGGAAAGCTAGGGCCGGGGCCAGGTTGAGTCGATACCTGGAAATAGTCAGGAAATAAGTGATGGAAAGTCAGCATGAGACCACTGGCTTAATTGGAGATGGCGACAGATGAGGGTTACGTACCTGATGTCAGTGGACGACTTGTACATCGGAGTGACGCTGTGATCACGAACGAATGACATAAATTAAACAAATGTCTTTATTTGGTTTTTAGGCAAGGTGGCGTATAATGAACAGGGAGAAAGGCAACTTCAGTTCCGACATTCAGATAATAGGGTCCGCAGTTACACAGAGACAAAGCTGTTGGCTTAGTTGAAATCGGCAGTTGTCGCAGTTCGGTTGCATTTTGCAGCTGAATCAACACAAACATTTGCTCAATAGACAAGTAGCGTATAGACAATGAAAAAAAGTAAACTATTAACAGAAAACTAGAGTGTCGCATTATTGTAACATGAGCCGATATGTAAACATTTATTTTTTGTTGAAACTTGACTGGAGGACAGAGGCTGAATAAATAAATAAAGACTTTAATCGAGACGTAACTCAAGTTTCACCTGTAAAAGTTTTGCGAAAAATTCAAAGAATTCCAAAAATAACTTAGGTTGTATTAAGCGCACTGTGAGATGCATCTTATATATTAAAATACATAATTTTACTTGTTATTTTCAAACTGACAGCCACTAGAGGGCAGCCTAGGCGTGTGTACCAGTATCCGCTACTCCTGTACCACTGAAAATTCACATTGTTCGTTATTTTCACACTGCTGGCCGCTAGAGGGCACTCTAGCTGGCTGGTGTAAGTTATATTCCAGAGCAACTTATATATGTTTGTTTCTTATTCATTATGCATTTTTTCGACTGGTGCGACTTATAGTCTGGAAACTACGGTACTCCAAAAACATATTAAATAATCCATGCATTAATGTTATACGGTGTATAAATTGTAAAATAAATGCAATATTAAGAAAAAAAAGAAAAAGTCACAGTTTCGGTCTCTGTTCAAATCTGCAAACCTGCAGTCAGCCATTCAAGCCTGTTATCTCCTGTTCTCTATAGACCAAGGTATTGACCTCGGTATCATCAGCATAAAGCTTTAATTTTATACAGTAGTTGGTTATAATACACTAGTGGTAAGCGTCAAAAGCACTGTTTCTTATTGGTTCTAGCAGCCAGGTTCTATTTTCCTACATTTTCTTCTTTTTAAATTTTTTTTTTTTTTTAATTACTAGTCATTGAACTCTCAGGGCAAAAAGAAAGTCTCTGGGAAAACTCAAAGACCAAAGAAATCTAAAGTTTTTCTTGGCAAAATAAAGACAATTGAAATGATCATAATTAACGGCAACAAATCTAATAATATTAAAATTTACATTTAAACCTTTTTTTTTTAAAAAAAAAAAAGATTGGAAAACATGTTTTGGTCATTTCTCCCGTGACAACAGGAAGGACACAAAGACTCAAATGAGAAAAGATAAAGGAAATGTTCAAAGAAAGAAACAACAGATGCTGTCCATTAAAAAAAAAACTAGCTTAGGCTACGCACTTGGCACTAAAAACACATAGACTTCTTTAGTCTTTTTTCATCAAATACACTTTTTGGCATCAGATCAACAGCATTCATTCGTGTAAGAAAGACGAGGGCAGCGCCCCACCCCACCCCGAGGTTCACACTGCTCTCCTTTGGATCAACCTTTTACGGTCTTAAAGCATTAGGACAAACCCTGGGGAACATTAAAGCTTGAGGAAACAAACGCACACCCAATCCATTAAATACTGTATGAGCCTCTGAAGTCACATATTCCCAGGCACATTGGTCTCACTACGAAATATGTGAAATATGTGAACCAACAGTTTTACTTTGACATTTGTCATGGAAATATACAGGTCAGGACAATTCAATACTAGCTTTGCCATCTAGCCAAACATAACAGCTAGCATTTTGGCTAGCTAGCCCTTTCCTATTTTTTTTCCACAGACGTTAAACTACATGTAAATGTATTTGGCAGGTGACATGTAGCAGCGGCAGGGCAACGGCAACGTTATAGAGCTATCATTTGTAAAGTTAGAGATTCCATTTTTCGTACCAAGGACCGGTCGGCTGGTATCAGACCATTTTTCGTACCAAGGTACGAAAAATGGTATCTGGTATCAGCCGTTACTGCGGACCATTTATTTCTCTTGTTCATGGTCACATTGAGACCATGAGTGTATTCAAGATTCCAAACTAAAAAAAAGTGTTGGACAACCTGGACCGGTTTGCTATTAGCATTAGCATTGGCGAATTAGCATTAAAAAACAGCCAAAAAAAAATTGGACTTAAAGTTAGACAGAGGACTTGGACAGCTAAAATGAAGAAATATAAAATGTTTATATGGTAAACAACAATGGAAACCCCCTCGAAATTGCTGTCACTGAGCATTGTAAAATCACGTCACGTCTAGCCTTGCTGCGTAGCTACAGTGCACAGCTAATTTTGTGTTGAAGAAGGGGAAGCTAACGTACTGTACGTTGCCACATGCGGACTCTGTAAGACACTGTGAGTAAGTAAGAGAGTTTTTAGTGGCGTTGTATTCTTTGGTTATTAACGTTGAATCCAAATGTACGATGTTTCCTCTTAAATCTGTTTCCCTCAAGGCTCGCCTACTGTTAGCTCTCCGCACACATACGTTACATAATCACAACCCCGTATCTGTGCTTTGGCCGCGAGGACATGAAAAGGTTGACCTCAGAATGTTTGAATGGAGAGTCATTTTGGTTACATTTGTTAAAGGTAGCTAGACAAACTCACCTAAGGTAAAAATAGAAAGCACATATTCCTTATACTATCGACATAAAAGTCTTCTTTTTAAAATATCTGACATCTCATTTTGGTCATTTTTAAAGAGTTAAACAAAACAATGTTCCGTGTCGAAGAGGTTCAGCCTGGAAATATTTCCAAAATAAAGCGTATGAAAAATAGAATTAAACCAAAATTATGTAAGTATGGGGTATGTTTTTTTTTTTGGCTTAGGTTCAGTTAAAGCACTTCTCACACAGGCGACTCCAGAACAGGAACAAGTTCTTGTAGTTTCTCTTCAAATAAAAGAAATAAGGAAAACTGTCAAAAAACGTTTACATCTTTGGGTGTCATTCAACTTGGTTTTCATTGAAGAAATTTTGGATAGGCTGTCACGGTGAGACAAAAGCCATGTCCGTGCCTTCGGGCAGGTATCACCTTCAAACTTCTTAGCTGCCAACTCAGGGTCTTTGAGGGTCCCAGGATGACCAATTTGGCATCTGGAGAGTAAAACTTGACAGCGTGGCATCAAAATGCGTCTTGTCTCGTTTGTGCCATCAGGTTTGTGCAGGAAACGAAACATCCGTTAATCTTATCTTGTTTTGGTTCCGAGGAGACGAAATCTTATCTTGTTTTGGTTCCGAGGATGTCACTTACAAAAAAAAAAAAAAAAAAAAAAAAAAAGGACCTTGCTCAAATGTTCATGTTTCAGTCTGCGATCCTTATTTTCCCCTTTGCGTGACATCCTCTCTGGTTTTCTTTAGTAGAAGCTCCAGTGACATTCAGAAAGAAGAGGCAATTTTTTTTTTTTTTAAAGAAGAGGAATGTTGAAGGACAAGCGGCGCCCTGGCCTGTTCGAGGCCCCGTGCGGCGCCTCGTGTTTTTAAGGCTTCGGGCTTGTGGCGGTAAAAAAAATTCAGGACCTGCTGTGGTTATGCTCTCCATGGTGGTCATCCTGGTAGGCACATTCTGGTTGGCAGCTGGCACTGGTACACTGGCATTGGCACTGGTCAAGGAAAGGAACTCGAGGTATAGAGGGTATTTTTGGTCGAGGTAGGCTGGCCTTTTTCTATGGCTCTAGAATTCTGGTAAGACTGAGGTAGATTTCTTTGGAAGATATGTAGTTAAAAATCCTCAGATACACATGGTCGTTGATGGCTTGTGCGGTCAGACTCGGGATCTGACCTTTGTAAGGCATCGGCGAAGGCTGCTGTGTTTCTTGCTATTCTTGTTGCGGAGGAACCGCAGGTGGAGTTCGAGGGTTTTTTTTTTGTGCCACAACAGTATTTTCCCTGTCTTTAAAATATTTGGTTTATTTTGGTAGGAAAAGACCATAAGGCATATCACGTGGCATCTATATTTTGGTTATGGAACAGACTCCCTGGATAAATGCCAGTGAATGTTGGTCATGAACATCCTAAAAAAAAAAAACTTGACAGGTACCAGTCTGAAGTAGCGGTAAGGGTTTTTTTTTTTTTTTTTTCCCCGACACGGACAAGCACTAAAGGCAATATGACATGGTTCAAGGTAGAGATGGCGGTGGAATGAGAGACTCTGAGGTTATTAGCAGCAGCTTTAAGGGAGGCTAACGCTATGACTGAATGAAGGGGCGGGGGTGTTGAAGTTCTTAGTATTGACCAGTGTTAGCCAGTGCCCACGCCAGGCAGACCTGATGACTGCTGCTCAATGATGACCTGGCACTGTGCTGAGGTGACCACCTGTAGGACAGGACAGGACGAGACAGAAGACAGAAGACAGAAGACAGAAGACAGAAAAATCAGACGTTGTACACAAGTAAAAAGCAACACGTGTTTTGGTGTAACTTATCGATACAAATAAAAAGTGTTTGATTTGACTATTTGTAGGATTTGGCTAAAAAATCGTTCTTCACCGTGTCGAGCAAGGGCGTCAAACATACAGCCCGCGGGCCAAAACCATTCCACTTTGGGTTTTCAATCCGGCCCATTTGATGAATTTAGAAAATCAAAAAAAAAAAAACTTTATGTTCAGGAGATGTTTTGTAAAATTATATTTCACTAAATATATAGATTTTTCTAACGTATTTTTTAAGGCATAAAAACAAAGGGCTAAAAGACAGACTTATTTATTTATAGATACTGTAACTATGTTACGATTGTACTGGCCCCTAAACCAAAATGAGTTTGACAACCCCGCTGTAGAGCCTCACACATGGGGAAAAAAAAAATGTTTATGAAACATAACAAAATCCTAAATAAATTGCTAAATTAAATAGTTTTGATGTATCATTCGATACGTTGGGTGTTTTTGGTGCAACTTTTTGCCGACATCAAGGTTCATTTTAGAAATAAAAAAAGCACATTTTAAAAAATATGGAACACTTGAAACACTTTTATACAAATAGTATTATATAGTTAAATTAGAATATTTTACCTATTCGCGTTGTAGTGTAGTAAAATAATGGAGGCCATATGCGCCAAAGGTCTGTACGCTAACAACAAACTGTTCATATATGTAAAAATATAGTTACAGCAGATATAAAAAATATGAGTATGTTTTCATTGGCTACCTGAGGAACTGACTCCACCCTGTGGCACGTTGCTTCTCCATCCTTAGGGTTTCCATTGTGTCCTGTGTTGTCTCTCGGTACGGACCAGCTCTCCTGCGTTCCTTTGCTGCAAAAAAGGCTACAAACACATTCCATTAGTAAGAACGTCCGCGGTGTAATTTATTACGGTCACAGTTCAAGACAACCGGGCTGGCTTCTTCACTCATTTTACTGCTTTAGCAGTAGCTGACTACGCAAGCTGTTCGCCTCAAATTACAGTATTTTAGTCGCAGTATCCGAAGGGGAATGTTCGCACCACCGGCAGCCACCCGGCCGTGTTTTCAGCAGTCTTTATTATTTGATTACTAGGTTGAGTTTCCCCGTCCTCAAAAATAATGGGTTTCCCATGTCTTCAAGGACCAAATGGACTCACGGATTATCTGCACTGCTTATTATAACGTCTTATTTATTCACGTATTCTGCCCTTGAGAGCTAAACACCAGTTTGCCATTAGTCACCTAGAAATGAAGAAGCCTTTTCGAAGAGAGGCCAGTCCAGGTGCCTCCCACTGGTATTTCAAGTGACAGACTGAGATATTTTCAGGTATACATTTAAGATGTGGGTTAGGAGGTAAGACGCGTGTACTCCACACTTCCATATTTACCTGCGACGGTATCCAAAAATGAGAAAGAGTACGCAGAAGATGATGCAAGCCGTGCCGATATGGATGCCAACGACGATGCTGCCCAGAGAGGCCTCCCCGTCTCTGCACTGACACAGGCTGTTGCCACCTAATAACACAGCAATATTGATAATTAGAACATGCAAATATATACACCGCATCTTCGGGATTATAAGTCGCCCCAGCTGAAAAACGCATAATGAAGAAAAATAAAAAAAAAAACAAGTCGCTAAAAAGTTCAAGTCGGACCCGCCAGCTAGAGTGCCCTCTAGCGGCTGTCAGTGTGAAAATAATGTGAAAATAACAAATGTGTACAATTTCAGTTGTACAGGAGTCGCAGATACTGGTACACAAGCCTACAGTGCCCTCTTGTGGCTGTCAGTGTAAAAATAACGGATGTGTAAATTTCAGTGGTACAGGAGTAGAAGATACTGGTACACCAGCCTACAGTGCCCTCTAGCGGCTGTCAGTGTGAAAATACTAAGCATGTGAAATTATATATTTTAATATATAAGTCGCACCTGAGTATAAGTCGCAAACGGTATGTTTATATACATGAATATAACCATCAAAAATATACATTTCAAATGTATTTCAACACAACAAACACGTGCTCTCTTACAATACATCTAGGTATCTGAACGTGTTCCATCACACTGACCTGTGTTTGGGTCACTCGGACCTTCCTCTGCCAGGGACACCAGTCTCTTTGAGCAGTCACTCTCTCCATTCCCATTGTAGGAAACCAGCTTTATTTCATACACGGCACCCGGTTCTGCAAAAGACGAAGTCAGCAGGTCTGAGGATTTGTGTTGGTTGAGGTTTAAAACGCTTTCCTAAAATGCAATTCTGCTTCTGTCCCAAGAGGTTTGATCAAATCACACCCGGGAAGATGATCCGAGACGGCCAATTTTTTCCCCTTTTACTCTTCCATCGAACATCTCCCTTGACATTTGCTCTGTCCTCCATTGAGAATAAGGCCAGTCTTTCGTCTACATTGTGGGTATGAACATGTGATTTTCAGTGGATGACACCCACTTAAACAGGGGATGGATGAGGGGCCGGCTGCAGGTTGTTTAAGGAGGCCACGGTGAGACATTTCAAGCGCTCTCGTTATCCTTTTCACGGCCACAGACACCTAACGAATATAATTAGCCCACTCGCACACCTCAGGTTTGTCATTTCTGACAGTCATTGGTCACACATTGGTTAAAGGTCGCAGGCCACATTTTTTACCTGTCTGTGTAATCTCTCCAAGAACACCAGAACGGCTCGTGTTTACCTTGAACGCGTTTTGCTTATGCGTTTGACATTTGGAGGTGTGTGTGTGATAGTCGTCCATCTTGATAAGTCATGTACTTCATAGGTTGGCAGGGTGTGTGTTTCCATGGTCACTGGACGTGGTTGGTGGATAGCGAGAGGCTAATGTGTTGCTGCATCGATATATCCTAACATAACATAACTGCATTTTACACATTACCAGCGCTACTGGTGTGAGGTGTGGAATCTGTGTCAGATAATCACAGTGTACAAGCACAACCCTTTATATGAATATATATATAAGTATTATATTATATTATATTATATATAGTATTATATTATACATGTGTTTGTCAACACTTAGTGTGTACAGGAGCTCAGTACCTTCTACAGGTAAATATCTACATGGAGAGGATGTTTTATAGGTTCCTCCCACCGCCTCTGTGAGTTGCAACCACGTAAGTAATAGCGCCTCCTGTGGCAGCCCGTGTCAGTTGCTAAAACTCTGTAATTTGATTTTATCAAAAATCCAAAAAAAATTCCAATTGTAGGATGAATAACGGACTCAATTATTATTATGATTATTTTCTTGCAACAGAAAGAAAATGAAGTAAAATCATTTTTTAAAAAACATTGCTGATGCTCAGAGTACTAAATACTTTCTTTGACTCCTGTAAAATATATCTCCAACATGTCCGGTTAGCCTTGTTCACACACTCACCCATGTCTGAGATGGTGTGGGCATTGACGTGATAAGGCAGCTGGATGGGTTCCTTGAAATCGGACTGGGGGACTTTGCGGTAGGACAGCCTGAAGCCTTCAACCTTGCCAGCTTTACTAGGAAGCTCCCAGAGGACCTGCACCGCACTGCTGTTCACCACCTTGGTGAAGTACGTAGGAGGGGTTGGTACTGTATGGACAGGAATCAGACGGTGAGGGAAAGTGCAGTCTGTGGTCATAGCAACTGTCAGTTCAGGTGATCTGGAACTAAAACAACTATATCAAATATTACTGTTGCCTGTATAAGTGTAGAAATAGAAAAGAAAATATTGTTTTGTATTCTTTTTTTTTTTTTTTTTTTTAAACCACAGGCAGAGTCGGCTCTATGGAGGTTGACGGTTGACACTTCCTGTTAGGGCTAGGGGCTGTCGATCGATTAAACATTTTAATGAGATAAACCACAGGTTGGCTGTAAATGAATCACAATTATTTGTGATTAATCATGATAAATTTAGATCATGATTAATTTATTTTCTTCTTTTTCCAGATAAATCAACAATCCTAAATATGAAAAAAAAAAAAAAAATCAATGGTATTTTAAGCTTTAAGTGTCCGAACTGACAGTGGAATTACTGGAAATGTCCAGTGTCCATTGTTCTGCCCATGACTTAAAATCCCTTAAAAATGCAATACTAATAATCTTCCAAATTAATAAATACGTTTGATAAGTTAATTTTAAAAAAAAGTTTTTAAAAAAAGTGAGTAATGTTCTCACCACCGCCCAACGTTGTAGCCACTAAAGTGTGTGATTGCTGACTGGCACCCAGAGGGGAGTAGGCCCTCAGGTAGAGTGAGTAGGTGGTGGCCGGTTCCAGATTGATGATGTCGTGTTGGAAGCTCCCTTTGCTGATGGCCTCCTGCAGCTCCAGACTGTCGGGCTCTGAGAGACAAGACGGTTGACAGTTTGTTAATATCAGACAGGAAGATTCAATATTTTTTAAATACCTAGCTTAAAAAAATACCTCGGTGTATATGTATGTATATATATATATA